GCCGGGTAAAAAACTAGTTCTCTTCATGTAGTCATATTTCTTTTATACATTTGTTACTGAATATTGTAGCTTTTGTAGTTTATTTATTACTTTGTTACTATCCGTCTCTTTTCGTTCTAATTTTTTTTAATTACTGGAATATGTTTATTTTTTCCTGATTGTTTTCCATTTATCATTCTTTGATCTTGCTGTATTGAATGATCGATTAAGTAACTGTTTCTAATGGGGTTTCTAATTGAATTAGGAGTTTAAATAGATATTCTAATATTGACTTTAATTATTTATTATTATCTTCTAGTATATTTATTATTCTTGTTGATATTCATTTATTATTTCTACTAATTTATCTATTTTATTGAAAAACATTTATTAGTCATTATAGTAATACTATGTTTAGAAGGTTTCTAAGTTATATATTAGATAAAACTTTTTGAAATGTTGTTTTGGATGTTTTTAAAAAGTTTTGGGTACTAAAAAATAATTAAAAGTTTGGGTTTGGTGATTTTTCGTGAGGGTACAATTCTGGGTTTTAGCAACAGACGTTACAGGCTTTTGGTGACAGATTTTGGGTGGTCACTAAAGCTGCTAGGAATTGGCAGAAACTTATTTTGGATGTTATAAATTATTTCGAGCATCTGCCGGTGTTTGTTACTAGTTTTAATAATTTTATAAATTGAGAGTGGTCTAGGAGATGACTATAATTTAATTTGAGAATTTTTGAAGATGTATTTCTATTTTTAGGAATTGTTCGAATGTTTATTTTAATTAAATCATAATCTTACCTAGTGGATTTTAAGGGTTTGATAATTTTTCAGGGTATAAGTGCTCATAATAGACATAGGAAAATTATTATCATAATTTTTAAGAAGATTCAAGTTTGGTGAAAAATTCGTCAAAGCCAAAAGTAATTAGGAAAAATGGTCAATTTTGAAGGGATTATTTTTAGAAAATTTTTAACGGGGGTTAAGGGACCCTTGGAGCGAGGCTCGAGGGCTGGATTTTGAGAAGAGGATGTTCTAGTAATTCAAAAGTGGTTTTAAATCGAGAAAAGTCGTCTAAGAAAATGGATTCTTATTAATAGGTTTCCCCAAGATTATCCAGCTAAGGAGGGGTTTCTTCGAGGAAGGAATCGAAGAGTCATCTTTTCGAGGTGAGTGTAAAGGGGGTAAAATCTCTGTCATAGGTCTTTCAGTTTATGCTTTTCGTTCAAGTTATTAATTAGTTAATTTTTGAGTAATGTGCGATATGTGTGTGAAGCATCCCACCGCCTGTAAGGGTGGAGGCACGCGTTGTGCTATGTATGAATGTATGGATGTATGATTGTAATAGTTGGTTAATGGTAAGAGGAACCCCCGGGCGGTTGGGCCACTACTGGACTCGGTAGATGGTCGGGTCACTGCTGGACGGCGAGACGTAACACAACAGTTGATCGAGTATGTTAGGGTCACTACTGGACGGCAAGACGTAACGCAGTAGTTGATCGGGCATGGACTGGACGGCGAGACGTAACGCAGTGCCATTGTCGAGCTTGGGTATGCAACCGGACGACGAGACGTAACGCGATTGGCATACTAGGGTAGAGACACCGGACGGCGAGACGTAGCGCGGTGGTCCCTAGTGTTGGTGTGTATGGATTAAGAATATAAGTAGGGGAATTCTAAAGATAAGATAGGAGTAGAGATCTCTTATAGACTGTTTGATAATAAAGTATAAAGGATGAAAGCGAGAACGACTTTTGTCTAAGGAAGGCAATCCCCTAATAATGTGTTTAGTGAGGAGTTTGCCTAGGGCAAAGACCTTAGGAAGTAACGACGAGACTGACCCCTTCTCACTCACCAGGTCGAGGAAGGGTTAGTAAAGGCGGACTTCGAGAAGAGGCAGGGCGAGGCGAGTAGCTGCACCAACATTGATGAAAAGTCAAGGAGCTCGTGAAGAGTCAGAGTTAGAATAGTTGAATTTCTTTGTTACATGGTTAGGAGTATAAACTAGAGATTCTGAGTTCATTCATTTTAAGTATTTGGATTTTCATTTTCCCAAGTGTTCGGGCTTTTTGTTTGAAATTCTTAAATAGTGTCGGTTTGTTTATTTTAAAAAGTGGGTTGGGTTGCTCCGGAGTAACTGATTTTTGGTTTGAGTTATGGTTTGGTTTACGAAAAAGAGCGGGTCGTTTCATTCTGGCTGTTCTATGCAGGATCTGACGACGGGGCGAGAGATAGGCAAGGGCAGTAAACATGGGCACATTTTTCATCAAGATCAGCTTGAAGAACCATCGTCATCATCATCATGTCCTTCTTCAGTGTCTAGGTTATTGTCTTGTATGGTCTTCTTGAGTCTAGGTGATTGTCATTTTCACTTATGGCATGCCAGATTGGTTATAAGGTTGCACATTCGTCGGATTTTTCATGTACCAGTTGTGTGGAGGCTAAGACGACGCGAATTTCTTTTCCGTCGAGTCAAACTGCGATCACTGAACTATTTCATTTGATTCATACAGACTTGTGGGGGCTGAGTTCTATTACTTCTCGCAATGGTTATAAATATTTTGCCCTATTTGTTGACCATGAAACTCGATTTACGTGGGTATATTTTCTTCGCCTCAAATCCGACCTCTAAGCCATTTCCTCGGAATTTCTCAAGATGATCCAAACTCAGTTTGGTAAGACTGTTCGTGTCGTCCGATCTGATCTGTGAGGGGAGTTTAGTTCCACTCCTCTTCTCAACTTGTACAAGAGCCTTGGTATTCTCACCTAGGAGTCTTGTCCTGGCGTTTCACAATAGAACGACCTAGTTGAGGGTAAAAATAGACATGTCTTAGAGGTAACCTGTGCTCTATTGTTAGCTTCGCATGTTCTCTCATATTTCTGGCCTGAAACTGTGTCCACTGCTGTCCGTCTCATTAACTATCAGATCACACCGGTATTAGGCCAAGTCAGTCCTTATATTAAACTATACGATAAACACCCTCCATACTTGAGTCTTCATGTGTTTGGTTGTCTCTGCTCTGTTCTTTTTCCTCGAGATACTCTCAGGCAGTTGGTGATCCTCGTTCGGATGGTGCTATGACGGATGAAATTTATGCCTTCATGCTAACAATACTTGGGAGATGGTTCCTAGTCCGCCGCCGGAGATTCTTGTTGTGGGCAGTAAGTGGGTCTATGTGATTAAGGTTCTTCCGGATGAAATCATTGAGCGGTTCAAGGCCAGGGTAGTTGTTCAGGGGTTTACCTAAGAATATGGCTTTGACTTTGAGGAGACCTTCGCCCCTGTCGCGAAGATGGTCACGGTTCGGTCTCTGCTGGCATTTGCTTCTATTCGAGGATGACCTCTTTATTAGTTGGATGTCAAAAATGCATTTCTGCATGGTGAGCTTAAGAAGATTGTTTACATGGAACCCCCTCCTGGGAACTCTTTTGGTGCTCCTGGTCAGGTTTGTCTCCTACATCGTTCTATCTATGGGTTGAAGCAGGCACCCCATGACCGGTTTGATAAATTTCAGTCCACCATTCTCGAGCTTGGTTTCATTCAGAGTCTTAATGACCCATCATTATTCACTCGACATACTTCCCACGGTCTGGTTGTGCTTCTTTTGTATGTGGATAACATGATTGTGACAAGAGATGATGCGACCGGGATTGATGCACTCACCAAAGGTCTTCATGCGTCCTTCAACCTTAAGGAGCTCGGGTCCTTATCTTACTATCTAGGCTTGGAAGTCACTCGTTCCCCTGCAGGTATCTTATTGAGTAAGAAGAAGTATATTGAGGACTTGCTTGAGTCCGCTCATTATGCTGACAGCGTGCCGGTATCTACCCCCATGGAACTAAATTTGAAGCGGGGTCGCGACACTCGTGATCTTTTGGTGGACGGGGGGAAGCAATATCGGAGTATAGTTGGGAGCCTCATCTATCTTGCTTCTACACGACCAGATATTGCCTACGTAATACAGATTGTTAGCCAGTTTATGGCAGCTCCTATGACGGCTCATATGGACACAGTTCATCGGATATTACGTTATATACGGGGTACCACAGATGTCAACCTATTTCTCCCATCCTCCGGATCGTTGACTTCAAGCATTCTCAGATTCAGACTATGCGGGGTGTATTGACACTCGTCGATCTACTTCTGGCTGGTGTGTTTGGTTAGGGAACTCATTTATCTCTTGGAGGTGCAAGAAGGAGGATCGGGTGTCTAAATCTTCTACTGAGGCTGAATACAGAGCTATGTCTGAGGTCACATCAGAACTTGAATGGTTACAGAGATTGTTAGGTGATCTTGGGGTGCAGTGTGCGAGTCCTATGGAACTTTGTGTTGATAATACTAGCACTATCCGCGTCGCCATGAATTCTGTTATGCATGATCGAACCAAGCACATTGAGGTGCATATACACTACATCAAGAATCTCGTTCGAGACGGTACCATTCGCATTTCATATATCTCCTCCGAGGACGAGATAGCAGATTTGTTCAACAAGTCGTTTTCAGCTAGTCGTCATTTCTTTCTGTCTGGCAAATTGTTGTTGAGAACTCCCTATCAATTTGGGGGAGGCTGTTGAGATATTGAATTGTAGGGCTACGGCCCATGCAGAGTTCGGCCCATGCTAGTAGCCGAACTAGGTGATTAGGGTTGAGAGCAAACCATACTTGTATATATGTACCATTTGCATACAATGTTAAGCTAAGGAAATAAGAGAAGAACTAGTTTGACTGTGGGCTAGTCTTGTTCTGCAACGAACAAGGAAACCATGTAAATCTCATCTCAAATTCTTTCTTGCATCTTTTTCGATTAACCCTTTGTTTCGATCAACAACGCTAACTATGCCGTACTATGCTAGCCCGTGGGCGGCCCGACCCATTGCCCATGTACATTACCCATATTGATCGATCTGCCTCGACTCGTAACCTACGATGAACTACTCGATCTGAACCCGACTCGCCAAGGAACGGGTATGAGTACGGAGATACGAACCTCGGACCGGCCTATTCCCATTCCTAAGTCGAGCACTTTGAGGAAAGAAACAGAAGCTAGACTCTGTGCGTTTGATTCAGGAGACTCTGCCGGGAGTTCGAGTTCAAGGGCCTGTGGCGATTAGTACTGTATTTCTCAGATGGAGGAAAGGCCGAATTGAGAGAGCGGGGAACCGATTCAATTCGATGGAGAGACCGCGACGGTTCAGAAGGTTCGGAAGGGGGCGTAGCCAAACTTCCACTCTGCTTCCACTCCGTTCAGCGAGCCACAGCCGTCCCCTTTCCCACACCGTCTCCTGTTGGTACTGTGACTACAAGTTTTCGGCTCTCAACGGCGTCCTCTTTGGTTTCGGCAGGAGATATTCCAAGCAATTGAAGTTGTGGTTCTCAATCGGTGTCGGATTCAGCCTCGCCGCTCTCGTCGGAGCTACTCTGCTTCTTGTTTTGGAATTAGCCGCTTCCCCAAGTATTCTCCCTGGCACTGCGAGCGCCACCACTTCCTTATTGTTCGGGTTCTCCCCTCAGGTGGCTGACCGGCTGATTACTAAGCATCCTTTTTTCTTTCGATCCCCCCGCTATCTGATTCTGATGAAAGCTAGCTTCTTTTCTCCTTAGGTTCATGGTCTGAGCCTCTCCATCGCTAATGCCGCTTATTTGTTTTTCGCTACTTTGGTGTCTGTCTCGGTGCACGAATTGGGCCATGCCATTGCTGCAGGAAGGTGGATACTTTATTTTCACTTCTCCTTATGCAATTGCTACTGCGTTCTATAGGGTTTTGGTCCGTACTAACGATTGTTGGTGGTGGTGATGGAATTTTCTTGGGAAAGCAGTGAGGGCATCCAGGTAGAATACATTGCCGTGTTCATCGCGCTTCTGTTTCCTGGTGCCTTGGTAGCCTTAAACGATGAACTGCTAAATGGCTTGGAGAGGTTCAATGCTCTTCGTGTATATTGTGCTGGCATTTGGCATAATGCTGCGGTACGACCATGTTCTAGTTCTATCTATGGTGTTTTTATTTCTTTTCATTTGTCTACTTTAGAGTCTTCTTTTGCAGTTCAGTGGTAGGGATCCATCATTTGATTTAACTGGTCTGTTTTGAATCCTTTTCGTGCATTCTTGTATTTTAATGTCTTGTCAATAGTGTTGTGCAGCTTGTGGATTTATGCTGTTTCTGCTGCCGTTGCTCTTATGCCCCTTCTACTTGCATGGTGAAAATCCCATGGTAAGTTGCTGGAATCTGTTAAGTCTATTTCGTTCCAGGAATGAACTTTTATGTCCTTTAGTGAATACTTACTGCGGCTAGTTATGTTCATCTACAATAGGTTCTGCATGTACCCTCCACATCTCCTTTGTCTGGCTATTTGTCTCCCGGAGATTTGATCGTGTCACTGGATGGCAAACACGTCCACGATGAACATGAGTGGAAGGAGTTGTCTGCTTTAATACAAGACCGTACGTTCAAACTTTCAAATTGGCCCAAAAGTACACAAGATTATGCAGCCTCTCAAGTTCAAAAGGGTTACTGCGTTCCTACATCTGTGATGGATGCCAACACGACCATTCACTTGGTAGACCTTCAGTCTGCGTGTCCTGATGGTTTTGCTGAATTCAGGCCTTCTGAGTGCTCCGAATCAAGCAAATTACACGAGAGGTTATTGCAAGCTGAAGCTGCAGATAGAGCACTGGAACGGTACTGTTTGACTGCTAGAGATGTTGTGATGCTTAATAAATGCGGAAATGGTTGGCTGGGAGATATCACTAATGGAAGCAGCTGCTTGTGTTCAGAGGTATGTCTGTCAGTTTGATGAAGTAACTTTGACATCTCAATAATGGCAACACTGTTTTGAAATTTAAAATCTTCGAATAGCCATTGCTGGTTGTTTGCCAGAAGCATGGAAGCTGAGAAGCTCATGAAATATGGCTTTTTGTTCTGCAGGGTGAGTGGTGCTTGAATCCTGTTCAGCAGCAAGGGCTAGCATGGGCCGAGATCACTTATGCAAGCCCTCATTCTCCAGAATGCTTGCAGCTTCAAAGAGATCCATCTGCAAATTCTGAAACCGTAGACTCCAACTGTGGTGGGACTTTTATTTTTGTAGGTGATCTGATGGCCATGGCACAGTCAATCCAATTAACGTCATATCAACCTCGATTTCTATTCCCATTCGCTGCTTATCTTCCGAGCTTTCTGGAGAAGGCCACAGTATGGGTGTTCTATGTTTCTCTTGCACTGGCTCTCCTCAACAGTTTGCCGGTAATTTTCTCTCTTCCTGAATAGAATCAAATTCAGATTCTGTATGTTTATGTCTATATGATCGAGAATACATATCATATCGGTTAGTAATGCTTCGGATTGCTCGACCTCTCAGGTATTTTATCTTGACGGGGAGTCAATTTTAGAGCTAGCTCTGAGCTACTTCACCTGGCTGCGCCCGAGTAAGAAAGCTAGAGCTCTCAAAGCATGTCTAGTTGGTGGCACGCTCATTTCTTTGCTGACCTTCATGAAGGTGTTAGCTAATCTATACGTCATTTCTTCAGTGGAAGGGTACTAAACTACTAATGCAAGCAAAAGCCAGGAAATGTTCTTTTGATACAAGTAGCTTATTATATAGTGGCGGCCCACTTGATTACCAATTCCTTTGCAGTTAGGCTTATTCCCTAAATATGGGCCTTTTGCAGTCTGGGCCTCTCTATGCTCACGGTTGACAGATTTAGGGCCAACTGTCCTTTGCAGTGAAGCCTGTTCCCTCTTTTGGACGTACGCAGTCTGGGAGTCCATGGCAATCTTAGCCTCTATGTTGGCTGTTGAAAGATTTTGGGCCCCTTTGTGGAGCATTTGCTTCCTCTGCAGTAAAGCCTGTTCCCAAAAGATGGGCCTTTGCAGTCTAAGCCGACTGTGGAAAACAAAATCAGCTTAAAAAAAGAAGACATTGATAAAAATCAATCAAGCAAAATTAGTTAATGTGAGAGCATCTAAACGTATCTGAAAACTCGATCTTTGTTTGCCAACCATGGGTTCTGTAATCAAATCCAATTCTTAAGTCTTATAAGGTTTCAATTCTTTTTGTGCTAGAGAAGACCAAACCGATCTTTTAAAATCTGACCTAATATATTGTTGTCCACTCAACCCCCAACCAACATTCGTGGTGCCTACACATAAGGTCCTCGTTTTTTAATAGCCCTTTTGATCTCTGGCCCGGCACCACTAGCCGCTAGGTTTTTATCATTCGAAACATTGAAAACAAGTGTTCGTTTTACCTAATAAAACAAAATATAAACCCTACTTTTCGAAGGAGGCAAAAGTAGAATTTAAAGCACGAATATTGGATTCGACTTTCGAGCCTTGACAAGGGCGAGTATGGGTCAACTTTCGCACCATTTATCAGTGTTCCCCTCAACACGTAGGTAGAGAACATCGTAATCCATCCTTGAAGGGAAATATAAGCAAGTGGGAATAAAACGCAGTGCTAACATGGAAAGAGATCCCGGCTGTGATCTCTGTGTTTGTTGTTTGCGGTGTGCATTATGTGTTTAGAGTGTTGTTGGGGTCATGGAGATTCTCCTTGAGAGAGAGAGAGAGAGAGAGAGAGAGAGAGAGATTGGTAGGGTGCCACAGTGGCAGAGACAAGTGGAGGGAGGGAGGAAGGAAAGGGCGGTTTTAATTTCGGGACAGTGAGTCTTTGAGAAGGAAAATGGGGGCACCGCAGGCAAAAGAAAATATAAATGTGTAAATTAATATTAAGTGCTGGGGGAGTGGGCCTGGGCTGGGGGCCCAATAGGTCGCTTTCGAGCGGATTTATAAATATATTTAGGCAAAGTCTGGTTTTTGGATAAGATATTTCCCAATTGTTCTGTTGCACTACCTTTTTTTCCCTTGACTCGTGATCTCATTCCTCTATTTCTTCTTCGTTTTCTTTCTCCCCCATGTGATAGCTTTTTTTTACCTCCCCCATTGGGCCCCAGCCCACTACGACTCCCTGGACCGCTTCCCCAACAGAAATGAATTATAAAAAATAAAATAAAAAACAACCGAAATTGTAGACCCGGATTTTCCTAGTAGTAGTCTAGTAGGATCCGAGACATCATCAAACACTGTTATCCCAAAAATGAATGCAGCCACCAGTTCTCCTGATGTTTTCTTTTTATGCGATTATCATCATTTTTAGTCTCTATAGATATGTAGTTTTGTTGGGTTACATCGGTTAAGTATAGGATATATTAGTACATTAAAATTAATTTATTTTTGTTGCAACTAAATTATCGTACATAAGTTGAATAATCTAGGTTGCAACTAAATCATATAGATCAAAACACGATTGCACCATCACAATTTTCGTTTTCAGACTCGACAGTGGGTATTTCGCGCAAATGAACCATTTTTGGAGCAAATATATTATAAAATTTCATGAATCGTGAAACTATAAAAATGGATAAATAATGTGTCACGGGCTCTCCGTTCTTTATTTATCCACCGCATTCTATTTTGTTTCTCATGCTAGTGGATACCTAGGAAGAGAACATGGTAGGTGGAAGATGAAGCTAAACACGGTAATCAATCGTAATTTTTTAGAAAAAAGTCACATAAATATGGCACTTGTGAAAAATTATATGGGTTTTATTTAAATTCAAAATGGTATCACAATAATTATCATTTGGTGCGCTTAAATATATGGATGGAAATTGAGATGGTGCAATTGAAATTTAATTTATATGATTTATTTGCAATCAGAATTCAACCTATATGTTTTGGTGCTTCCAAAAATAAGTCAGATGATTAGTGCACAACAACTATATTTAAGTTGCAAGCGGTGCAATTAACCCTACGTTGGTATAGCATGCAACATGATATAGCATCTCAATTTCAATTGTATAATAACAACATAAAAAAAAAATATGAAATTTTTAGAAAAATTATAAACAAATTCATATAATCAACTTTAATTTTATGCCATTCTTATATTTGACAAATGATGTCGATATATCTTCAAAAATGAATATTTAAAGCATGTTCTTAGTAATATTATGCATAATGTGTATTCATTTTTGTCACCCCATCATGAATTTGCATAAAGAAAAAGATTGGAGGATCAGATTCAGACCCCATTATTTGATTTTTGTGCTACGACTTGTTTCCTCTCTTATAATGATGATCACTTGAAAATACCTAACTCGTGATATGTTAAAATAGTTGCATGCCTACCGTACAACATCCTTGTGAATTTTATATATAAGTTCGTTAGTTGTTACTTGTAATCTCAGGGGACCCTTGACCATAGTTTAAATACACTAGGAAAATAACCTCTAACTAAATTAAGGGGCATGTGAATGTGATCTATAATATGGAGCCCCAAAAAAGTGTACACGTACGTGGTAAGGGGAGAGAGTTCAGATTTTAGTTTACACTATACAGATTGCTTAGGGCTAATTAGAAAGATCTATTGGCACTTGGTAGTACCTCGATCGCCAGTCCAACTCGGTTAAAGACCTTCCTCCGTCCAATTGATCAAAACGTGGCACGTCCGTAATGAAACTCCATACTGCTAGTTGTACCGCTAGATAAACAAATTAAATTCAATGCAAATGTCACATCTAACACAAAGTGATCATATTATCTACATTATATATAACGATGTTTTTATCTGATAGATGTCAACACATCTAGTCGTATTGGTAAATATGAGAGAAGACTTCATTCGATTCATGAAGAAGAACAATGTACACCCATCTCGAATCAACAGTAGGCGATTCGATTTCGAACAGGATGGCTTGTAAGAGTAATATAGATACATTAAAAGATTATAACATATCACACGCTGAATGAGTCTAGGTAGCTTATTGGGCGGTGGATAGCACAGTCATTCATGAGTTCGTGGTGAGCATCAAGTCGATGATAATATAAGAGAGGGAAAGGGACATGAATGAATGATGCTGTAGGGAGAGTGAATGGTCGTTAGTCGTTAAAAGGATAAGGCGCGGGCGGTTTGAAGGATGTTAATGTTACCGTTGTTGGAAACGCATGTGTGTTTTGTGAGAGATATTTAAATTACAGAAGCAAATTCCATTTAGGACTTCCTTTCTTGTGTTTTGTTTTGTATGGTAAGGATAGTGAACAATAATTTCCGGTAAATTGCCTTTTTTATCCACAACAGAATTCAAGGCCTTCCTTCTTGACTATTAGGTATTGCAGTTGCTCACTACTGGTCCTACTTATGAATTTTCCCCCATTTTCGATTGATTGATACTAAATTCATAATGAATCATTTTTCAATAACTTAAATTATTGAAATTAACTGATTTATGATATAGTATTACAGGCTTACAGCTGGTAGGGGTGGGCACGTGGGTGGTTAATCCGCGGATTGATATCGATCCACCCGCAAATAACTCGATCTGTACGTAGTGGGTGATTGATGTGGGTGGATTGCGGATTGGTAAATCTTCCACCCGCACTTATGTGGGTGGATGGTGGGTGGATTGCGGGTCACCCGTATGACCCGCATCCTATTTTTACATGAAAAAATGTTGTTTCTTATAGCATCGAATATTCATCATATTTTCGAACTGCACTACAGTCTGACCATATACTTCAAAAGATGAAGAATAAATAATAGTTTTGACTACTATTATTGGTCATTGTGTTGTGCAATATCCATTAGATATTGAATATTGGTATGCAGATTATTGTTAATAACCATTAAATATTGGGATGCAAACTATAAATTATTAATTGTATCAAAATCACAATTAATGATACAGTCTTACTAATTTTGCTTTGAACTTATTATAAATGTTAGTCAACTTTCTTAATGGCTAGTTGAAGAATTGCATTTGCGGGTTGACCCGCGATCCAACCGCACCCATCCGCCACCCACCCAACCCAACCCGCAGAAGTATGTGGGTGGATTGCGGGTCAAAATTATTTCAACCCGCTAGTAAGTGGGTGGGTCAATTTTAGACCAAAACCCACCCAACCCGCCCATTGCCCACCCCTAACAGCTGGTTTGACAAACTGGCCGTGTGTAGTGATGGTTATTGGTCGGGGCGGGGCTGGTACCTCAATATCCATGCCTCGCCCCGCGCTACAACGGTTCGGGGCGGGTAATACCCGCACGGGTATGGGGCGGGGCGGGTCGACCCACTCTTATATGCAATTTGAAAAAAATCACGAGTTAGGTCGGGTAATACCCGGCCGGGGGGGGGGGGGGGTCAAATTGCCATCCCTAGCCGTGTGTTCGAATCTCCACGATACTCAATATTAACTTTTTATCTAAGTACAAGGTATGATGGACCTTTACAAACTTTCAAATTTGTGAGTTACCTTTCATTTGAGAGGACGTGTTAGATAATAATATAACAAGAATAATAGAAACAAGTTGCGGAGCCACGTTGATGTGATGAGGGGAGGCTACATATAGCCCCCTTCAACTCTCAAATCTGTGTAAAACTACATGTAAATTTTGTAATAAATTAGAGAAATGCAGTAGTTGGTAAGGCTTTAGCCTCTCTTCACCAGTTCAAATTATCTAAACATAGATTTTAGTCTCCATCGTTCATATTTCTATCTCCAACTACTCTTTCATTCAAATTTCCGACTCCACCACCGATAATAAACAAACTATTTAGGCGAACATGGATATATATTCTTCGTTAATTAGTTGGTGGGATTAATTCAATTATAGTCATGATCAAGGGGGGTGGGGGTTGGTCCACATGGTTCCATGGAGCATGTGCGATGTGTGCACTGCCGCTGCCTTCCACGTACTGCTCGGTAGCTACTGTTTCATCATATGGGCTCTGAAATTCTGCTCCATAAATTTCGACATCAGACTCTAACCCATCAAGTGACGAAAACCCATCATTTTCCATCCTTGGGTATTATAATATAGTCCTTTTCTTTGCTTTGCTTTTGATTTTTGTGTCGTGAAGGAGACTGGCCAACGGTCGTCGTTCCCTTCGGTTGGAATCTATTCCCAGGGCAGGCAGCAATCATACACAAACAAAAACGTACGTACT